GGGGCTTAGCCCCATCAACTCCCACTCGGTGCAATCTGCGCCATGCTCCTATGCCCAGTGATGGCCATGGACCCAGCCCTTTCCACTCAGCCACTCACAGGTGGCTGCTCATTGCACTGGGCAGCCAAGTGGGTGGAAGGCAGCCAGGAGCTGCAGCTGAGCCCCACGTGCCGGGACAGGAGCTACCTGGCTGCAGATCCTACCCCCCGCCCTGCATCTGGCTGGGCAAGTGATGCCTCATGCTACCTGCTGCCCAGAGCAGCGCAGCAAGGGCAGGGCACTAGCTGTGGCCAGGGCTGGGGCCAGAGGCCCAGCAGGCAAGCACAGAGTGGGTGCAGACTGCCCCAGGCAGGACCGGGCAGGGCTCGACCCCATGAGGAGCACTGCAGGGACAGCCACAGGCCAGATGGGGGCGTGGAACACATCTTCTGCACCGCACCACATTGCCCAGGCAAGCTCTGCTACATGCATCACGTGCCACCTCCCCCCACCCCTGGCCAGCTCCTGCAGTGCATAGGCGCCCCACACATGTACATATACCCATGCCCCACATGCGCACACACCACCCCAGACACACACACACACATCCCCCCATGCCCTCACATACCCTACCACCTACCCCTCACTGTCGTCCCCCCCTCCCCCCCCAATATACAAAAGTAAGACTTTTATTTTGAGCTGTTATGCAATCTCCTCAAAAAGATAAATCAGGACTTTTTTTTAAATTAAATTATAGTATCTTATAGTAGATATGGTTCCAAAGAGGATGTAATTAGACTGTTTGCCTTGGTGGCAGATAATGTTAAGTTGCAGCAAGGGAATTTTAAGTTAGATATGGAGAACTTTTTCACTAGGAGGGTAGTAAAACACTGGAACATGTTAACTAGAGAGGTGGTGGAATCTCCATCCTTGGAGGTTGTTAAGACCCAGCTAGACAAAGCCCTGGCTGGGATGCATTAGGTGGGAATGGTCCTGCTATGAGCAGGGGTTTGGACTTGATGACCTCCTGAGGTTCTTTCCAACCCTAATTTTCTATTATTCTTATGTTTAATATTTAGTATCCGATTTCTTTTTTTTAATCTATAATTTGTTAAAATGATATCTTCTGAAAGATTGTGTGTGTGTGATCCTTCTACAGCTCACCAAAACTCGTTAAGTAGCCCACCTGACCAAACAGTAGACCACCTTTGTTCAAGACTTTGGTAGCATGGAACTGATAAAAGTGGTTAGGAACTATCAGACAGCAGGGCTCAAGGCTGGAGGATGGGGGAAAGAAAACCTGCTGCCAGGGCTTTAATCATGCTGTCAAATTGGGTGTATTATATCATTGCTCAGAATGTCTTTCAGCCACAGTCTTGAGCCCCGCTCCTGCCCCCTGATGCCTGCCCAGTCCTGGTCACTTGCTTCCATCTGCACTGACAAAGATTACTGAAACCTCCTGCCTCTGTTCCAGTCCACCACTGCCAAGTATGCCTCTGCATCCCAGAGTGCCAAAAATGCTAGTTATGCCTCTGATTCAAAGACAGGATATCAAATTTAGTTCCCTGAATTTGGAGGCTACCATAGTGCCTACCTGGTTGCTTGGTGGGGCCTCTCCCCTCACCTGTAGGCCAGAGACATGCCATGTATCCATTGCCAGCTTCAATATTTCCATCACTATCTGCACCACAAACCCTGCCTGGGGCACCTGGGAGTGCCATGTGATCTTTTTAAGGATGCTGCACAATATGCACCTATACATGATTTAAAAGATAAACCCAGAGATTTCAAATGGGAATCCATAGTGTCAAAAGCATCCTGACCTGTTGTGGTCGTTCTGAGCTCTGTGCTACGGAAGAATTGCTCTATTATTTTTCTGCCAGTAAAAAACAAGCAGAAGTTAAGAGCTGGCATTTTCCAGACAGTGCCTTGAGCCTACAGAGGGTCTTAAAAGGTTGAGTACCAGTGGTCTAGACCTCTGAACAATAGAGTGGGACCCATTTCATTTATGGGCACTTCTTCAATCTCATGGAAGCCATCTTTGTTAAAAGCAGCCTCCTTTCTGGTTTCTGCCCAATTTACTGTAATTAATGGAAAATTCATTAATTATATTTTAAAAATCCAAAATCACTAGGGTAACATTAAGATTACAAGAGCCACCGGCACTATTTTTGTCTACATTAGATAGCCTTTGGAGATGTCCCTAATTATCTACCTCAACAATAGAAACAAAGTAGGTGGAGAAAAAAATGTTTGTCTTTGTTCTTATCTGGCATCGAAGTGCTTACAACATTGCTTGAAGAGAGGATAACACAATATTGAACAAATATACATTTGACAATATATTCAAAGAGTTTACTTTTAAAATTTGTTTTTACTGAATGTTAGTCTTTTTTATCCCATAAGATTGTGATATTGACTAGAACAAGTTTAATTGGTCTGACTATTGTAATAAATATATCACGTCATTCCTTATACTCTTTGACCTTCTCAGAAATTTTTTAAGCAAGAGCTTCTGCTCTTCCAGAATCATCACAAACCAGGTAAAATCCTCTGTTTTTCTAGGTGAACCGAGTATATGATTTACCTTTATTTTCTAGTCTGCAAAGTTCCTTGTCAACCAAGCACTGTCAATTCTCATTAGACTAAATCCTGATACCAAACAAAGGCAGAGACTGTAGCCAATTTAGTGGATATATCTCTCCAGGTGCAGGAAACATTATTGGTGCTAATCAATTAATCATGTTCAAGTAAAGCAAGCAATCAGGTGTGAATTTTCTGGAAAGAAATGCTGAGAACATATGTGAAAGAAGTTTATGGTGAACAAAATTTTCCATATGATAAGCACATAGTTTTCTGTTTTTAATTTTGATGAAAGTTTCTTCAAACTTCCTTTTGTTTTTTTCAGGTTCCCATCTAAAGACAAAATGTCTGTTTCTGCTGCTTTCCTGACACTGTAACAGGTAAGCAGGAATACGTTAGGAAAGAAAAAAAATCTACTGTTAAAGCAGATTTTTGCTTCCAGTTCCAATATCTTCTTAATTTGGTCAAAGAAATGGAGGAGCTATAATTGCTATTTGCCATACTAACGGTCTGTGTCTTGTTGTTTCCCTGTGCTCCACTGTCAGTTCACTGAAGCCAGCCTTTTTCTTTCATCTTATTCTTAAATGGAAATCTCTTTGGGGCAGAGCCTATCCTTTCATAATGTATGACTGTATAGTTCCTAAAACCATGGGACTTTGAGTGAGTCTCTATCCATTACCATAAGAGAAATAACAAAGAATGAAAATTACAGTTATAGTGAGCTGATACTGAAATGCTGCTGCTTTGCTTCTTATTTATACAGCAGCAGAAAGATCAAGTCATCATCCAAACACATAGGAAAATGTGAACATCAGCTGAGCTACAATCTAATTGCAATGTTGGAGATTGTGTTGTTCCTTTGGTTATTAACACATACATTTACAATATGACTATAAATAAGACATGAATTTGAAGTTTATATATGAGCAGTATATAGGTACTGTATAAGAACAATAGTGTTTTGGGAACTTTGTAAAATATTACTTATACTATCATTGATATCACCTCTGTATTTCATCTGCTAACTTTTATGGAAAAAACTATAAATAATAGTTAATAAAAAATAGATAATAAAAGAAAGGTATTATCTCAAAATCTTTTATATACCAATCCCAAAATAGGATTTTACATAAAAGCAAGAATCAATGCCCCGGCATGATATCAACACATCCTCATTGAAGAAAGAAATATTTGTCTGTGTTTTGTGCAATTATAAAAATCAGTAGGAAGTTTTGTATTGTGACAATTTTGTTAAAGTTACTTATTGCTTATGCAGCTGCATTTTTCAACTTTAGCATATTTTTACACTTATTTTTCTCTGGTCCAACTGAACTGAAGTTAGATTAAATAAATTTCAATGCAAAGTGTGTTCCAACAGTTAGGAAAAAATGGTGTTTCTTGTGATTAACCCTCTTTGGTTTCTGTCACATGTTTATACTTCTACACAATATGTTGGTGTTTTAGTTGCACCATTACTGGGTTTAATGCCTACCAAGCAAATCTTTTAATAGATCAAAATAGTACTTAGTGTTGTTTTGCAAGTCACACTATTGGCAAATATCTGTGTCTAATGAAAGCAATCCATCCCCTTCCCAATATATCTTCATATACACGAACATTGGCTATATTAATTCAGAGGCTAGTTGTATGGCTAAAATACAAAAGACAAAGTAATTATTTGTATACCTCAAGATTTAAAAGAGAAATATATCCCTTATACAAGTAGGTAGCACTGGAGATTGAAAAGTAGCATGGACACTACATTACCCCAACAAATCTGAGATAAAATCTGATCCAGGTCTCTAAGGGCCTCCTTATCTGTCAGCTTTACTCAAGCCATACATTTCATCCTCCACAATGTTCTGGGGAAATTTAGAGTGTGACTACCCAATAATTGAGTGGCTTTTCCCAAAGGGAGCACATTTCTCCTGGGCTCCATGTTCCGTGCCAGTTTCCATTTCAGTTCTGGGTATGGTATAAGACGTTAGTCTTTATGTATATAACCTCAAATGAAGTGTGCCCTGGTTATATCAAGAGCTGCTTCCCTTTTTGTGATATGTTGATATTTGAGGTAAACTTGAGGCCTTCAATTTACTATCTTCTGGTTTATGAGGAATTTGTAGATAGAAAGTTCAGTGATGGGCTTTCAACTGTAAATTCGTTTTTTCTTTTGTTTATGAGAGAACATGGCCTTCAGGGCACACACCAAGGCTTGACTGATCTCTCAGGACTTCTCTTCTGGGATAGCATGAGTGAGCAGAAAAGGTATTAATCTAGAGTTAGGGAGGGAGAAGTTGAAGGGTCCTGTCATGTTAGATGTCAGTTCCATTTGCTCTGTGCCATTTTTTAAGGACTGTACCTATACTGAGAAAAGTGGATGAGCTTATTTTATTAAAATAAAGAAATATTTCTTCTCAAATAGGTATTTCCTTAAACACCATCTCTGTAACTTCTGATTATTTGCCAAGTACCAGCATACTTTGTTTCCTTTGGACTAGTAATTCATGGGTTCAGATACTTTGTTATACTATGCCAAGTAATAATAGAGTTACATTTGCATATCCCCTATCATTGTAAAAGGTTGTTAAAACTATAAATATGCATACAGCATCCCCAAAATGCAGCTACTTCTGAAACGTGAGAACGGCAGCCACCTGGAACAAAACAGAAAAGAGAGGAAAGATTTTGGTTCAGGACACATGGGGAAGGACTGCACTAAAAATGCAACTTTCACTACATACATTTTAGCATTATAATTAAATTGTCCACTCTACCAAAAAAACAAGAAAATAACTTAATGAGATTAATTGATTTCTTAACACAAGCCAGTCTTGAACCAATGAGTTGTGGACAGGACATTTTTCATAGACTGCTTGGGCTTAAAAATAACATATTCCTTGCCCTTTTTTCATATGCAGCCCATCACTAAACTTTTCTGCTTTCTCCTCTATGACATTGTAAAAATCCAATCCTCACTTTCTGTCCTGATAGTTAAACTCTTGTCTGCACCTATGTCATTTCACATCTTAACTGTTGTAATCTCCTCTTCACTGGTTTCTCTAGTAATCAGGTTGCCCCCAGCCCCTCGCTCTACCCAAAATGCTGCTGCCAGTTATCCTCTCTATCAATCAACCACAAAACAGCACCCTCCTCTCTGAATTGCTCTTATCCAGTACATCCTTGCCTTATTCTTGCCTACATGGCTATGCATAACTCAGTCCAACCTCAGTTCTCATTTTCCAGACCTGTTCCCTTCATTTCATTAAGATCATAAGCTTCTATTACTCCTATATTATTTCTTTCTCTCACTGCTGTCTTTCTAATCCTCTCTTTTGATGCTTGTCCCATGCACAGATAGTCTTCCCAATCCTTCTTGACCAGACCCTTATTTGCTCCTAAATTAAGGCAAAGGATCGATAAAACAGCATCTTAGATAGAAAAATCTCTCAGGAGTAGAATAATTATCCCAGGAATCAGAACAGTCTTTATTTTGCCCTTGTTATTTGGGCATATTAATTGTAATATTCATGATCTTTATGCCCATAATATATAGATTGATGCCTCCCTGGGGCAGGGGTTGCATCACCCCAACTAAGAAATGCATACCATAATAATAAATAATACATAATGAGAGTCATGTATTTGCTTATACTGTTTTATTTGCTTGGTTATACTCTTCTGTTTGTGGCATAGGTTATTATTTCTGTAATTTTTTCACTGTAATTTAATTACTTTGTGTTTTCATGTGTATGTTTTCAAACTGTAATAAAAACTTTAGGCAAAATAAGAAAAAGAAATAAAAAACAAAACAAAAAAAAGGGAAAAGCTTTAAACAGCTGTATGCCAACTCAGGGCAAGAAGAGTTAAATATAAATTGTTTGCTTGTGTTTTTGCTAGTCTAGCTTGTCCCAGCCAACCTTTTTCTTGCTGTGGACGAAATAAGTGGAGCAATGAGGAAAAATGCAGTTTTACTTGCATGGCTGCATCTACCCTGGAGCTTTTCCTAGCACTGCCATACCAGTCACAAATAACACTCCTTCATACCCATGACCAACAGTGCTAGGTCAGCAAAGTTTGGTGTGTGGACCTAGCCAAAGAAATACTGGGTACGAGATTTAATAAAAATATGAACCTCCCTAAACTTTAAAATGAATGTCAGAATTCACAGACTGATAGAAATAGAAACTATGACTGGAAGTCTATATCCTAAAATCTAACCTAAACGTCCTTCATTGCAATGTAAGCCTGTTGTTTCTTGATTTACTCCCCTGTACATAGAGAACAAGCTATAAGGTTCCACGTCACAGTAATGCTTACCTTATTTGAAGACTGTTACCATTATTTTTCCCCTTCATTTTCTCTTTTCTAGATTTAAGAAACCCAATTCCTTGAAGTTTCCTAGAGCTGTAATCATTTGGATGCTTTTTTTCAGATCTAGTTTACATTCTTCTTGAAGCATCTAAAATTACACACAGGACTCACTAGTGCAGAGCAGAAAACAAGGATTACTTCATGTGACACTCCTATTGATAGATCCTATTATGGTGTTTGCTTGTTTTACATCAGTATGACATTGCTACCTCTGTGAAAAGATCGAGAATACATACCCGAAAAGACCACTGGCCAGAGCAGTCTGTCCAACCATAGTGGCACGGCCATGCTCCGGAGACACCTCCCGATCCACCCTGGCGTAGCCTTATCAGCTCACCGGGTGAATTGGATTGGGTTAATTAATCTGCCAGGGGTTATTTCTGGCTCTGCGTGCTGGGACGAGGAGAGGAGGTAAAGGAAAGAGATGAGGCTGGCAGTGAAGGTAAATGCCCATCTGCCACCCAGGACTGAAGTCCCCGAGAATGGGGCAATAGACCCACAAGGACTTTAGAGCTCAGAGGAGCTTGGAGAGAAAAGAAAAAGGAAAAACAGTTCTGCATTAACTGGCTGCCACAGGCAGTCAATTGAGCCGCAGGGCACTAATTACTGGGGAAAAAAACCCAACAGAATGCTTGATTGTAGCTTTGGCAATCAGGCATGTATATAATGAAGACAAGGAGGAGAGAGTTAACACCAGAGATTCCTGCAGCAAGGGGAAGATCGCTGAACGGACAGCAGGTTTCTTTTTTTTTCCTTTTCCTTTGCAAAGAGGTTTTTTCTTTTTTTTTTCTGCCTGGCCTGGCCCTTTGGCTAGTGCCAGCTGGCTCTGGGTCGGGGCGTCATCACCCTTCCCCAATTAATCGAGTCATCAAAGTCGTGGCAGGTGAGATAACAGAGAGGAAGACCAACCCAATTGTGCTGACTGGCGCTGGCCTGGTGAGGGAAAAGGCCAGTGAATGTCAACAGGACACAAAGGCCCACGCCTGTACACAGTGTTATCCCGACAATCTCCTATTCATTTGGGGACCTATTATAATCCTTAAATACTTATCTGCAGAACTGTTGTTTGGCCAGTCACTCCTCACTTTGCATTTGCTTATTCCTACCTAGAATAATATTCTTCACTTGTTCAGGAATCCTATTTATTTTAGATGTTTTCTCCAACTTTTCAAGATCACGTTGAATTCCAATCCTATCCTCCAAATGTTTTGCAACTCCTCCCATCCAGGTGTCCTTTATGCTGACATCTAAGTCCTTAAGGGAAGTATCGAGTGTTATCAGACGCAGAACAGAGCTCCTGCAGGATGACTTAATACATCAATCAAGTTTGAGGGTGAAAACCAAAAGGAAAAATCATGAACCACATTCATAGCCTGGAAGGACTAGAAGGTATCAGTGTAAAGTGGTTCTCCTCAACCAAGGGATAGCTTCCTGAGTGATTTGGAAGTCAGACAGCCAAGGAATGTGGAAAGTGGATTGAAATGATAATGCATTGATATGCAAAAAACTCAATAAAATCTAGCTGTGTACATCCATGTGTTAGCCCATGGTTCAAAGAAGAATGATGTATAAACATGCATATTTTCAGAAGAGCTGTGGGTTTGTGTGCCTTGGCATTAGGGATGTAAACATTGTTTTAAAAATATTTGTTTACATTGGTTAAATGATTAACTGATAAGACAGCAGCTTGGACACAGCTACTGCTGGCAGCCGCTCCTGGAGCCCTCAGACAGACAAAACAGCCCAGGTGAAGTCCTGTGCTGGGAGGGGGGAGCACCTGTAAAAGAGCAGCTAATTGTTTAACTGATGAGTTATTAGGCTGGTCACTGTGTTCCTCTTAGTTTATAGTAGTGGTCTCCAACCTTTTTAAGCACAGGATCACTTTTTGATTTAAAGGACAACCTAGGATCTACCGCAAAGAAAATGTAGAAATAACCATTTTATATTTATATTTATGTTATATAAAGCTGAGATCAAGTACTTAATATACATAATTATACCATTTCCCTACTTACCAACTCTGAGTGTGATACTTGTGACTGCACATTATCTCTCTGCTCCAGACCAGGCTGACACCGCTGCAAGTAGCCAAGCCAGAGCCGCAATCCCCTGCCTGTGTGCCCCTGTCAAGAGCATGCAGGTTACAGATTGTGGCTCTGCCCTGGCTCTGGAGCAAGCTGCCCCCATCCCAAGTTCCCAGTGGCTCCAGAGTAGCCCCCTGCACTGCTCTGTCGCACACGCTGCCAGCGCAGTTTAGGCTGGTCTCCATGGCAACCCCAGCCTGAGCTTTCCCAGGCAGGTGCGGCTGGGGTCTCCATGGAGACCGGCCCAAACCATGAGGGCAGGGGCTGCTGGGAAATTGGCCATTTTGCCCACCCATTTTATGCCTAACTTTAGCTTGAAAAAAATGAGATGGGGGACTGATGAGATCGACAGTCAGAGGCTCCACAGCTGACCAGTCAATTGCGATCTTTCAGTTGATGACTACTGGTCTATAGGTACTAGTCCCCCTCTCCCCTCCCTCCTTCTCCTCCCCTCTTCCTGGCTCCTCCCTTCCTCCTGCTTTCTTATTCCCACTGGGGCACCACATGGCTTTCCTTCCCCCTTCCTTGCCAGACTGTGCCCACCCCAAGTTAAAGAATAACCAGTAATCTAACCAGTTATCATTGCAATTATCAGTTAAACAATTAAACAATTAATCATTTAACCTTTCACGTAAGAACCTTTAAACCTTTCACATCCCTCCTTGGCATATATCCCCTCTGTCAGTTGGACTGACTAGCCAACTGAGAGTAAATAAAAGCAAGTTGGTCTCATGGGGGCATCTATACATTTGACAGAGCTCTGCTAATTAGCATGCATTGGAGCAGACTCGGTTAACTGAGTCTTTTGAGTCTGCTGCGAGTCTGCTGGAGCACGCTAATAGGAACACTCCAGCAACTTCCACATCATGTGTATTCAGCATCTCCATGTCTCAAAATGGCAGCAGGGGTGCTTTAACTAAATATCATCAAGCAAGCTTTAGTTAAACGTCCCCACTCCCATTTAGAAGTGCAGGACACTGAATACATGTGACAATGCAAGCACTTTAATTAGAGTGGCTCTCAGAGCAACTCAAATTAAAGCCTCCCCCCCCCCCATACACCCCCCCAGAGCACGTGCATAGACAACCATGGTTTTGTGTGCATGTTGTGCTTGTTGGAGAGTATGTCTGGTCTCGTAAACTAGTGTATGAGTGGGAGTGCTGTATTGTGGCTATTTTGATGCTTGGCTGTTGGATAATCTGGGTGCTTCTTGATTCAGCCTCATAAGCAGTGATAGATTGTGAGCAATAATGCAGCTGGTAACTTGCCCCCTTGGAGGGATTGAGTTACAATTATAGCAGGCTTACCTTTCGGAGCTTGGGTTGAGTCCCAGGCTTGAGATTCTGCTGTTTTGATTGATGGAGCCCATCCACCAATCAGGAGGCAGCCCATCCACCAATCAGGAGGCAGCAAAGAGAAGTGAAGTCATGCCCCTTTCCTGACGGGAGGGGGAGAGGAGCTCCCCCGGACCTGATTGTAGACTGCAATACTGTCAGGTCTGGAAGACTTCAGGGGCAGAGCCCTGGTGAGTATAAAAGGAGCTGTGTGCCCAGCATAAGGGAGATGTGTCGAGGAAGGAGAAGAGAGAAGAGCGGGGATTAGAAGAACTGAGGAGAGCTGCTCAGCAGGGCGAAACAGTAGCCTGGATGAGCCCCCAAAATGTAGCCCATGTGTATACGGGTTTGTACTCCCCTCTCCAGTTGAGGGAATTATTGGCAGGGCAGTGTGCTGTGGAGGGACACAGAAGCCCAGTGGCTGCCTCTGTCCCCTATAGAGTCAGGCCCAGTCAATCAATTACTTAACTATATACAAATTTATTATTACAACAAAACCATTAACAGGTAAGGACATAGATTTTATATATATGTACACATTTACAAAACAATTAATCTGTCAGAACCCAGCAATTGAATGCCTATGGCACAGTGGAAAATTCCATTGATTTGGTGCCTATACCACAGTGGGAAATTTCGCTATTACATCATAGTGGAAAATTCCAGCACAGGGGAAAATCCCGCCAAGTCCAACGACTGCATGGTTTGAATGTGCACCACCCATTGGCCGGTTCCAAATTATTCCTACCTGGCGACTAGTAATTGGCTTACGGACCATATAAAAGTTAAAGCAGTTTCCGCCCAAGTTGGAGAACTCCGCATACACCTTGGAGTAGACTTGGCGGACTGATCACCCACCAAGGACTCCCCGTCACCGACTTACCTGACGTACCCCGTCCCTGCATGCTCGATAAGCCATTCACTGACGTCTCGTTTCGTTCGCGTCAAAGAGCTCTCGTCACATTTGTAACCGTAACCTAAGCCAGTTTCTCTACCTGCACTGTGTTCATCGATGGTGTAAGTAAACAAATCTTGTTACAACCAATACGCTCCGGTGCCTAATTCCGCTCCATCAGTCAAAAGTACCCACCTGCCATTTCAGGCTACTGGCCATAGCTCCGCAAGCCACTCAACCGCCACAAAATCCTATACTATTATACGCGCGCGCACACACACACACACACACACTTATTATTCAGAAATACAAGTGAACAATAAAACAACCCAGAACAAAGGATATTGATCTGGCAATCTTATAACTCTATAAATGTACAAACTATGACTTCAACTTATTCACATAAACTATAAGGCACAGTCTACAAATATAACAAGCAATCCTTAGACTACCTGGGTGCCCTCCAGGGCAGGGGCTCCACTCCCAAGGTACCACTACAGGAAAGGAGGGGGGGGAAAGAAAAGAAGAGGAAGACCCCAAAGATGCCTAAGCCCCCCCATCACCCAGGAGCGGCCCACATGGAGTGGCCCCTTCGCAACCCTGGGAGTCCCTCCCCTGTGGAGACCCCGCCTCCAGGGTAACTTCCACAGTCCCAGAGGGTTGCCTCTTGTTCTCCAGGTTGAGCTCTGTTCCCCGCTGGGCTTTCCTGCTGCCTGACTCTGCTGCCGCCAGCCTGGCTTAGGGCCACTTGCACCACTGTGTAGCGGGTGCTTCGCCTTGTGCTAGGGGTTGGAGGCCTGGGCAGCCTTGTGCAGCACCAGGGCTTGGTCTGCTCCCAGACCCTCGGTGCAACGTCATCTGCACTGAGCTGCTGTCCCATGCCAGCAACTGTAGACCTGAGCCACCTCAAGTGGCTCGCAGGATTTCTCACATTCCATGCAGGGCTTCCTGCACCGAGCTCCCAGCCTCGTGCGGAGTTTGAGGACCTGAGCCACCCAAGCGGCT